GCTATGAATACCAGGCAGAATATGTTAAACATTACAATAAATTCATTAAACAATAATGCATAAAAATAATTTTAACTAAATATATTTTACATTATTCCTGTTTAAAAAAATTGAAATTTAGTGATTCAATATAAATGTAGAGAATTGAAAATGCAAGCTTTTCCATTGCATCGTTGTATATCGATATACCCTGCTTCCTGCACTCAGATCTGACCAGCATCTTGCTTTAAGTTGTGCTGCACACACACAGAATAATTTGTTAAGAGAGCTATCATTTCTATTAATAGATCTGAGGAAGTTCGGGCGTCGCGAGCAGCTGCTCTTCAGAAGAAATACGATCTGTCCAAGTGGAAGTACGCAGAGCTCAGAGACGCCATCAACACATCGTGTGGTCAGTTAATATTTTATTATGTAACTTATATATTTGGTCATACATACGTCTGTCCTGGAGTTGCTCATACAATAGTTAAAAAATCATTCTTTGAAATGTATTTATGGGTATGTTTCCTTAAGACAATGAAAAAAAACCTTTTTTTTGTGGCATGAGTCCTCAAACCACGTCTGTCTTTATTGCAGACATTGAGTTGTTAGATGCCTGCAGGGAAGAGTTCCACAGGCGACTGAAAGTGTACCACTCCTGGAAACAAAAGAACAAGAAGAAAACGGGGGCTAAAGAGGATGAAAGGGCCCCAGAAAGTGTTCTCTCCAATGGTGAGTCAAAAAGAGGCAAAATCATTACAAAAATTATATTGCACTGTAGATTTGGAATTTTATTCTTGTTAAAATAATTTTGTAAATTGATCAATACATTCTTTCCAAGCTTCAATTTGATATTAATTTTGCAGCTTTGAAGAAATAAATGGTTTTCTATACACTACTAACACTCCCCTATACCCCCCCCCCCCTCCCACACAAACACACACACACACAAGAATAGGAACATTATAATATTCTTCCTTTTACAGCTGATGAGCCACAGGTGGCACCACAACAAACCAAACCAGCTGTGGAGAACCAGCAGAGATTTTTCCGTATTCCATTTGCGCGCCCAGCCGATGAATTCCGTGACGACCCCACCCACAAGAAACATGGTCAGTGGTACGCCCACTTTGATGGTCAGTACATTGCTCGCCAGATGGAGCTTTACCCAGACAAACAGCCACTCCTGTTGGTCGCTGGTGAGTTTGGAAGACCAAAAATTTTAAACAATTTTACCTATCTGTTAAGTATACAAAAAATCAACTTTCAAGACATTGTAATTAGTAAATAATGATCTGAATTGGATATCTTCATAAATATTTAATATTGCTGAATATTGTAATTGTTTATTTTTACCTTCCTCTCAAACAGAATTTTTTTAATTTTCTCTTTAAACTTTATTTTATATATTTCAGGAGTTCATGACCTACAGATGTGTGAGTTGAGTTTAGAGGAGACCGGACTTACTCGTAAAAAAGGAGCAGAAATCCTCGGCAAGGACTTTGAAACCGAGTGGAACAAACATGGTGGACGGGATCTTCTGACCAAGAATGCTAACAAAGTTTCCTCTGCGTTTCTTAAAAAACGGCTAGGTGTTGTAAGACGGTGAACTGTAGGCTTATAATTACAACTGGGGACCAATAGTTTTAGCTAGAATAGATGTTTATTTATTGAGTGGAAGATAATCTACACAACAAAGAAATGTTTTCTTTTAAAGCTATTTTTATACAAGAGTATTTAGTAGGATGTTGAAATGGAAACCTACACAGGGTTATTTTCCCTTATATTTTGTAGTCAGTCTAATTTTTGTGTGTTGAAATTTTTCTTACAAATTTTTGTCTCGTAATGTTGTATGCTTGTATGTTGAGTATTTGTATGCATTTAACAATTGTTAAAATGAAATATATGTAACACCATTAAATTACTTACTTGTTGAATATTTCTCATAAAATTCTCTCGGTATATTTTGTATGTATATTGTAAGAAAGAATACAAAGTGCAGAATTCTACAAATACAACTGAAAAGTTTATATATCTTCTGTCATATGAAGTAGAGAAAAGTATGAAATGTCTATAATATGTATACACATGTACATACAAGTTATATGTGTAACAAGAAATGGTTTGTGCAATTTAAATAACAACACATGAAATGATAAAGGCACAGTTGGCGCTGGAAATTTGTTTTATTTTTGTTTGTGAGATGTAGATGTTGATGGTTTCTTATTTGGAATTCTTCTGTAGTAGGTTATAGAGCTATTAAACTCGGAGAAAAAAACACATACACGAAATTCAACATGACAGACAACTGCATGTCACAAATGTACACTTGAGTATCAATTAATGATATGTACAAAACTGTATTAAACCAAACAGTATGCAGAAAAACCAGAAATCTGAAGCTACAGACAAGAGACACTAAATTTAAATACACCGATGAAATGAAAGAAAAAATATTAATATAAGATACATGTAACCTGACAACTAATGTGTTGGTGAATAACAGCTGGTCTGAAGTTTTGATCTTGTTTAGTTCATTGTTCAATATTGTTAGTATTTTTTAAATTTACCCAGGCTAGATGAATCGGAACATATTTAGTTTTATTTTATGGAACTGTCTTTGATTGATAAATATACATATATTCAGCCATCTGATACCTTTCAACGTTTGTTAAAAAATGTCATTTGCAAATCTGAAATTTAAAACGTTTTTGTGGCATTTATTTGAATTTTGATTTTGACAAAGGAAAGATTTTGCAAATGTGATAAATACAAGATGGAAAAGATCTTACAGTGCACTCTTTTTAATCTAATATCACTGATGCTTAAGAAATATGTCTAATAAACATTAATTCAGATGAAAAAAAGTTTAATCAATCTTACTTATGGGCAAAAAAGTATTTACTTTCGACAGATATTGTTGCAGAATATACAATGTCTACATTAAGACAAGTTTCACTGTAAATTAAAATCTTGGGAAAAAGTATTTACCCAATGTATTACACAATGTGAAAAGTTACAAGTGACAGTTGTTTTCGTATGACCAGCCTGGCCTGGTTATGATGTTGTGAGTGGTAATTATACAAGCACAGCTCTGGTGCTTTTCATTCATCAAAGGTAACTGTGATGGATTTGTCTGAATTTATATGTTGTCTATTTTCATGTCAAAGAAACTTGGGCCAATAAATGTGTGCATTTTAAATATCAATTTTGTTGTATATTTCTACTGAGATTAATCTCTCTATACACTGAATATAACGGTGCAAGATCCTGAGGTCAACATTATCAAGATTCTGACGATGTCCTTATCTTCCTAAAAGGAAACCGGGATAAGAAGAAAAGGTACATTTCAAGGTTTCACTGTCTATGTTTATATGTGTTGCTTTCCTTTTATTTTTTTTTTATGCCATCTGAGGGTGCAGTGGTTAGAGCATTTGCTAAAGATTTCCAAAGTAAGTAGCGTCTGAGAATATTTTTAAGTTATATTTCATGTATTCCTTGAATGGAATTGCCTTTAATTGGTAAATGTTACTTTGAAAAACATGTCTCTTTTAAATGACATAACTGATATACTAGCAGCATATATGAGCATAGATGATACACGTAACTGTATATTGAGCCATCTGAAATCATACCGTTAAATTATGGTCTATTGCACTCAAATAGTTACGCATTTCTAAATGACACCAGAATTTGATTTTAAAACTAATGAAGAACAAGCAAATTCAAAGAATTGTGGTCCCCCGCTTTTGGTGTCATTTTGGGTGAGATGTCATTTTTTTAATGACATTTTGTGTCTAATGTGAACGCCCTATTATAAGTCATCTATTTAGAAATTAATAAGTATCACTGAACTCCAAGGTCAAAGTGTTAACGTTCTTGGTATCCGATGAAAATTCTTCTCAAAAGAATTACATATGTGAGGTGTGAAAGCTCTAGCCCTTACCATTCAAAAGTTATGGTCAAGGTTAAAGTTTTCTCATAAGTACATAAAATCGCCAAGGTCAAGATTAAAAGGTCAATGTTGTTGGTATCCAAAGAAAGGTCTCGCCACAAAGAATACATACATGTATTTGAAGTATGAAAGTTGTAGTATGTACTGTTCAAAAGTTGTGACCAAGGTTAAAGTTTTCAAAAAGTAGTTTAAACTCCAAGGTCAAAGGGTAAAAGTTCTTGATATCCAATGAAAGGTCTTCTCACAAGAATTTCATTTCAAGGAAGTACGAAAGCCATAGCCCTTACCTTTCAAGAGTTATAGTCAATGTTTAAGTTTTTTCATAAGTACATAAATCTCCAACGTCAAGGTCAAAAGGTCAAAGTTGTTGGTATCCAATGAAAGGTCTTGCCAAAAAGAATACATAAGTGAAATATGAAAGTTTATAGTATCCACCATTCAAATACTAGTATTATGACCAAAGTAAAAGTTTGGAATTTTTGTGCAAAAGTGGGTCAAACTCCAAGGTCAAGATCAAAAGGTCAAATTTGGTGAAACCCAAAGAAAGGTCTAGTCACAAGAAATACACATTTGAAATATGAAAGTCATAGCTCTACTAAATCAAAAGTCATGGGCAAGGTTAAAGTTTCATATTCAGGCAAATCCATCACAGTAGCCTTTGATGAATGAGAAGCACCAGAGCTGCGCTTGTATTACAACCACTCACAACAACATTTCATCTTAACCAGGCCGAGAAAGGGTACTGGTCATATGTAAACAGCTGTCACTTATAATAGTTCAATACAGTGAATCTGCTTTCTTCAGGAGATAAAAACTTACGGTAAAACTTGTCTTAATCTAGACATTGTATATTCTGTAACATTGTTTATTGTGAAACATACTTTTATCTATGTCACTAACCTAGTTTGAATCTTATTTCAGCTGAAATACTATTTTATTATCAAGTTAATTTCTTTGAAACCACTGAAATGGATAAGGCGAGTTTAGTTTATCATTTTCCTCCATCACATATCTATCAGATTTGAAAATCTTTTTGTTCCCCGCTTTCGCGAAAGCGAAGGGACATTAAATCTCATTTGTCTGTCCGTCTCTCCGTCTAGCTGTCCGTCAGTCTGTCCGTCCGTCACAAAAACTTTAACCTTGCCCATAACTTTTGATTTAGTGTAGCTATGACTTTCATATTTCATATGTGTATTCCTTGTGACAAGACCTTTCTTTGGGTACCAACAAATTTGACCTTGACCTTGGAGTTTGTCCCACTTTTACACAAAAATTGCAAACTTCTATTTTGGCCCTAAATTTTGAATGGTAGGTACTAGGACTTTCATATTTCACATATATATTTTTTGTAGCAAGGCCTTTTATTGGATACCGACAACTTTGACCTTTTGACCTTGATCTTGGAGATTTCCGTACTTATGAAAAAACTTTAATCTTGACCAAGTCTTTTGAATGGTAAGGGCTAGGGCTTTCATACTTCATATATATAATTCTTGTGAGAAGACCTTTCAATGAATACCAAGAACTTTGCCCCTTGGACCTTGACCTTGGACTTTGACCTATTTTTCAAAAACTTTTACCTTGGCCACAACTTTTGAACAGTAGATACCATGTCTTTCATATTTCACATTCTTTGTGGCAAGACCTTTCTTTGGATACCAACAACTTTGACTTTTTGACCTTGACCTTGGAGATTTACGTACTTATTGAGAAAACTTTAACCTTGACCATAACTTTTGAACGGTAAGGGCTAGGGCTTTCGTTCTTCACATATGTAGCTTCAAAGTACTCAGAGGCCAGAAAAGACAAAATTTTCTGTATCCCACACCAGAAATAATAAACTAAAAGGGCAAACTTTACTTACTTACACCTTTTACACCGTATACACCTTTCTTAATAAACTTAATAAAGTGCAGGTGTGCAGACTTATGGGGTACACTTGGTAAACACTTTCTTACACCAAAAATAATGAATGTTTTGAAAGGTGTACATGTAGCACTGAATTCAACATTGCTGAGAACGGTACAATTGAAAATTAAAGATATTATTTATGTAAGGGTAAGATAATAACATTCAAGTTGTCTTTGTGTGTAAGTTATTATATTGAAATTATTTTTTAGCTATGTTATATAATTAGTCAATTCTTAGTGTATTTTATTTTTTTTTTAACTCTTTGAAAAAGAAAAATATCAGCCACACGCTGGCGAGATACAAATCTTATACTGCACCATATACACTGCGCCCCGTAAAATGCACTTGATTATTCAATACTAATTGTTACACCGGTGTACACTTAGCAGGTGTACACCAAGTTCAGCTAAATCAAGCACACCCAAAACACCAGTCTGAATTTTAATTGTATAATTGTATATTAAAGAAATTAATTGACAATTGTTGTTTTTTTGAAATTGATATTTTCATTATATTATCTTATTATAAAAGAATTTGTTTACATGTATTTGATTTTCTTCACATTACTCGAGTAATACTCAGCCACAAAGAGATTGTCATTGCTGTCCACACATAAACCATGTGGAAATTGTAGATCACAGTTATCTATGTGTTGCGCCTCCCACCTCGGGAGAGAGTGGGGCAACTGTGTGGGCTTTCCACTCTCGTATGTTAACTAATAAATTAATAATTAAGTCAGGATAAAAGTTCAACAAATAAAATTTATTTACACTATGTACAATTAAATGTAAGTATTGTTATAATAAAAATCACAATACAATATCAGTCTCTTATAAAGTGAAGTCACTCCCACAACCCGTAGGTAAAATCTAAATCTCCCAAAATAATTATAAAAATTAGCTACTTGTACTAAAATATACTTTCCTTGGTTTAATATAATTTATTTATGACTATTCTGTAAGACCTATATAGTTTTAATAATAAATTGTAACTCCCATAAATTCTCCCATAAGTTTTCCCGTCGATGGGTCTCCCACTCTACTTATGGGTCTCCCACAGGGATATCTCAGCGTCTCTATTTAATATAATTTGACTAATATAATTACCCATCTGGTCTGCATAGGGTCTGCCATCCCTGTAATGATTACCAATGATGGGAACACTTCTAAAATAATAATCTGGAGGCTTCCGTATCCTCCCAACTTCTCCCCCTTCTCCTCTAGCAGACGAAATTTTCGCTTCTTTATATACCTTTACTGTACCCACTGGTAACCTCAATTAGCCAATCGCTGACCCGGAATGACCCTACGCCACTTCCGGTATAAACAAATCAGGGAAAGTGCACGCAGAGAAGTTTTCTAATAGAAAATCATTACTAACCATACAAAATGGGATTTTATCTACCAAAATACGATAAGTACAAGTAGCTATTACGTTATTAAGTTGATTTAAACAATGACAATACAATGTTCAAAAACGAAACGTGATAATTGACTTCAAACATGCTATCGAGATCGAGACCGGGTCGAAATACAGTGAACCCGATTCTAAAACAATATTGACAGCATATAACTTATTTCTTTTACAACTTTTTATCAATTATTTAATAACAAACAATCATGTACATATCAATATGCTGATAACAACTGCATACGCTGCGAGTGATCAATGAAATATATAAAAGTGACGAAACGAATTTCGTAACATAGCCCCCTCCTGAAGAAAACATTCGTCCCGAATGCAACTGGACTTGGGTCTACTGAAAACATCACTTGCAGTTATAGAAGTAAGTATGAATCAATATAACAATAATGCAATTAAAATGTACAATGACATGCATAACATGACAAGAAGTAGCATTAATAAAATATGATAATCAATCATATTACATTTAACTCGAATCCATATACTCATCGCAATGACTAATGCTACATGTAATTATTATATAAATACATTTCGGCTACATCCATCCCTCAACTATTTGATATTTATAACAACAACAACAAAACAAAAGAACTGGACTTAGTTGGATTTACAATACTTCTCCTATCATCAAAACATTTGACATGAATGAGTATTTATAAAAATTGGACATATATTCCAAAACACACAAATCATATTTTATCTTCACAAATTACAGTTATTCCTCTGAGAACTCTTTGTGTCCAAAGATCATTACGAACAGCTGGCTACCAATTATTTCGACTAGCGTTTCTAATCTATAATATACCGCTTCGATGTGGATTTTCCTTAAGGTCCTCGCGTCATTAGGTAAATGGCAATTAATGTTCTTCGGTCCATCTCTCATGTAATGGAGTATGACATCGAAGTAGGTGGCATCACGGTCAATAAAGTAGACTGGTAGGTTCCCTCTATCCAGTATATTATAAGCAGGCAATAATTAAGGTGGGGTCCTCCATCATCCTTGCGAAAAGGGAATCAGGTTGGTTTGTAAGAGTGGCAACTGTCGTCACAAATAGTTTCCCGCCAACATCCAGACCAATACATTGTTGTGACACTAAGGGATGTGCGCTACCACTGGAGGAAGTCTGTATCGAAACGTCTCGTTTGTCAAACTCCCTCTCCGTCATAGTTGTTAGGGTTCTACTCGGTGTAGAGGTAACAGGTGGTTCCGTTATGGAAATATCAGGAGTTAGCAGATCTTCTTCATCTGACGAGTCACTTAAACTGTCCCCGAATAATCGTTTGAAAGACCTCCTTTGCGGTGTATCGTTCTTACTCTGACGTGATGATGTTGACTTTTCCGACTGCAGGAGTGGAGACGCTGGGATGGACTTCTCGGTCGATGGGAGTGCAGGCTCTGGGGTGGACTTCACGGTCGGCATCGATAGGAGTGTAGGCGCTGGGTCGGACTTCTCGGTCGACGGGAGCGCAGGCCCTGGAGTGGGCATCTTGGTTGACAAGGGCGCAGGCGCTGTGAATGACTTCTCGGTCGACATCGACAGGAGTGCGGGCGCTGGGGCGGACCTATGTGATGACAGGAGTGCTGGCGCTTGTGCGGATCTCTTTGGTCGCTTCTTGGCATTCCGTCCTTGGTGAGGCTCCGTGTATATTGCTCTCTTTTTTGCTTGGCCCTGGTGGTACGGCTGATCGCTGAACACTAAGGGGAGCTCCTTCATGAAGGGCACGACATGTCTCCCTCTCCCACGTTGGAAGGCCTCAAACTCCTTCTCTTCCTCTATGGTGAGCGTGAGTGTTGATTTCTTCACTCTCTGCAGGGTCCTGCCCTCACACCCGTGCTTTTGATCTTTTCGTCCAAGTACGATCCCGCAAGTGGCACATCGGAACACGAACCCCGAGTGCACTGCAGTCATGTGCCTCTCACAGTGACTCTGTTGCGTGAACTCTCTGTCTTCTGTGCATAGTCCACATTTGAATCTTTGGATCTGTAAAGTAATAAAGGGATACTTAGTCCCTCATTTCTGACAACATCCCAAACATTAATAATGGGCATAATAAAACTGCATATTAATATGATTTACTAAAATTTCCGACAAAATGATTAGCTATTTAATATTCACTAAGCTACATATATTTCGAGGCAGATCCCATATTACTAGTTGGGTCTATTACTTCCTTTGTAAGGCTTCAACAAATTATAGTGAACAACCTTGGATTTACTTTTTGTTGTTTTTCTAATTTTGTATATAACATCATTGATCCTTTTCAGAATTAAGTAAGGTCCCAACCAATGACACTGGAGCTTTGGTGATCCCATTTTATTAATATTATGGGCGTAGTACCATACAAGATCTCCCTCTTCATAACCTTGAAAATTTATCTTTGAGTTGTATTCTCTTAACATTTTTTCTGTAGCTAAACTCATTTTATCCCTGGCAAACTCATGTATTTTATCCATAGATTGAGACAATTTGTAAGCATATTCTGACATTTCTAATGTACTTTCAGGTTGTAACCTTCCCAATACTAAATCGGCTGGGAGAGAAACATGCCTACCAAACATCATCTCACATGGACTTACGCCAGTTGACTCGTGCTGGGCTGACCTATAAGCTAACATGAGCAAGGGTAAATGTTCATCCCAATCTTTTTGATTTTGAGAAACAAACGATGCTAACATATTTTCTATTGTTCTGTTTGCCCGCTCTACCAACCCATCTGACTGAGGTCTATATGGTGAGGTTCGGGTTTTCTCAATGCCTAAAATCCTACACATTTCCCTAAATACATCTGACTCGAATGATCTTCCCTGATCACTGTGGATTTGCATGGGTGTTCCAAAAATACTAACTATTCTATCAATTAACTTTTGAGCGACTGTGACAGCTTTCTGATTACGTATGAGTGCCGCATCCACCCATTTTGTAAAATAATCGCCCATAACTAAGATGTAGAGATTTCCCTTATTGGATTTGGGCAATGGTCCTATAACGTCAATTGCTACCCTCTCTAAAGGAGCACCAACCACATATTTTTGAAGTGGGGCTCTTATCCTCCTATTAGGGGATTTTCTAGACTCACAAGTGTCACATGTTACACACCAATGTTTTGTATCAGTACTCATTTTGTACCAAAAATATCTTTCCCTTACTTTAGATAGGGTTTTCTTAATACCTAAGTGACCTCCTGTAGTACTATTGTGTAATAGGGTCAAAACTTCTCCCACTAAAGCTTTTGGGATCACTATACAATAATTTCTTTCTAACCCATCATGGACATAGTACAAGGTATTGTGTCTGTATTCTAAAGACTCGAATCGAACCCAATAAAATTTACAAGTCTCACTTAAATGGGATATATCTTCCCAACTGGGTTGAGTTCCATCTTGTACCCACTTAACAACATGCTTTAAATCTGGGTCTTCATTTTGATATTTTCCCACATCAAAATTTTCTGTGCTAATTAAACTTTCTTTATTTTCAGGTGCCTTTTGTTTCGACCTAGTTTCAACAACTGAACACTTTTGTGTAGATTCTTCAGGTAGGTATTTTACCTCTGCTTTAGCACAGTATGTACACTCCACATCAGCACAAGGTCTGCGGGATAAAGCATCTGCGTTCCCATGCAAGCGACCTGGCCTGTGTTCTATTTCAAATTGGTAAGAAGCTAATGTTTCTAGCCAACGGGCTATTTGACCTTCGGGATTCTTAAATTTCAGAAGCCATCGTAATGAACCATGGTCTGTTCTTATTTTAAATACTTGCCCATAAAGATAATGGTGAAAGTGTTTGATGGACTGAATAATAGCTAATAATTCCCGTCTAGTCACACAGTATCGGCGTTCAGCCGTATTGAATAGCTTACTATAGTAACTTATGACTTTTTCTTCCCCATCCTGGATTTGGGATAGTACAGATCCCATGCCAGTGTTTGAGGCATCTGTATCTATCACATATTGTCCCTCTTTCCTGGGATAAGAAAGTATTGGGCTGCTGGTTAAAGCTCTTTTCAACTTGTCAAAGGCTTCTTGACAGTCTGAGTCCCATACAAACTTTTGGGATTTTTCTGTTAATTTGTGCAAGGGCTTAGCTATTACAGAAAACCCTTGAACAAATTTCCGATAATAGGAACAAATACCTAGAAAACTACGGACATCCCTAACATTTTTAGGTGTGGGCCAATCTTGGACCGCATCGATTTTGTCAGGGTCAGTCTTTATTCCCTGTTCGCTGATAATATGTCCTAAGTATGCTACTTCCCTCTGTAAAAGTTTGCACTTTTTAGGGTTGATTTTAAGGTTTGCTTTCTTTAATCTACTGAACACTTTTTCTAAGTTCCTAAGGTGTTGGGAAAAATTAGGGGCTAAGACAATAATGTCATCAAGATATACCATGCAAATTTCCCACGACAAATGAGAGAGTACTTTTTCCATCAATCTTTGGAAAGTGGCCCCCGCGTTGCACAAACCGAATGGCATGACAGTAAAATTCCAATGACCACCCCCCGGGATTGAGAATGCTGTTTTAGGTTTATCTTCCTCTGCTACCTTAACCTGCCAATACCCACTTTTCAAATCTATAGTGGAATAGTATTTTGATCCCGAAAGGGCATCTAATATTGACTCTATCCTAGGAATAGGGTGACTATCCTTGATAGTTACCTCATTGAGTTTTCTAAAGTCTATACAAAACCTTATCGAGTTATCTTTCTTTTTAACTAGAACTATAGGGGAGTTCCAGGGACTATCTGATTCTTCAATCACTCCCTTAGCTAACATTTCTTTAATTTCCCTATTAACATCTTGCATTTTGGCGAGAGGAATTCTCCTTGGGGCTTGTTTAATGGGTCTATTATTCCCAGTATCTATTCTATGCTCTGCCATATTTGTAAGTCCCATATCTTCAGAATTTTTAGAGAAACAACCCTGATACTCTACAAGTAAATCTTTTAATTGCTCTTTTTCAATTTCTGTTATCCCAATACATGACTCTTCACATAGATTTTTCAAATGTTCTGGTAATTTAGTGGGGGTATCTTCTAAGCTGATTTCTGATATAGCTAAACTATCATCTTTTAACATGGAGACTTTCTCCATTCCTCCCATAAGACTATTTTTATGGAGTTCAATTTCCCTATCTGACACATTCATGACTTTTAATGGGATTATCCCAGATGTGGGGTTTACAAGTGTCCTAGCCACTAACACTTCATGTTTACCCATAAATTCTATATTTGGCTCTACCAAAGCCTCATCCCATTTAGGAATAGAATCCAAAATTCTACCACGGGCAATAAACTCTGAGTTGGGAGGTACTTTCACGTCCTCCATTAATGCAACTCTAAAGGTACAATCTACCTCATCGCTACTAAATCTAAAACAAGGGATCTCTTGACCCTTAACCCGTAAACACATCTTTTGTACTAAGATATCACATGAATGTTCAGTCATAAAGTCTAAACCTAAGATACCGTTGTATCTAATATCAGCTACTATCACTTTGTGGGTGATTTCATTCTTCCCCATTTTAAAATGGACTTCACATTTCCCACTATTTGGTATTGGGTCCCCTATAGCAGAGACTAGTTTCACATCATAGGGTTCTAAGGAAGGTGATTTCCCTCCAAAACATTTCTCTAAAAATTGGGTACTAATAATGGTAACATCTGCCCCAGAATCTACTAAAAATCTACATTCTTTCCCATTGATTTGTGTGGGAACAAAAATACCTGATTCAATTTTGCTTGCATTATGAACAATTACTTTGGTAGCTTGGGAAAGGGTTTCTTTTGGGCCATATTTCTCTCCCATATCCCTCTCAACTTTTTCACTCCCATCTCCCTCATTTGAGGTCAAAAGAGTATCATTAACATTTGATTCATTTTTATTTTCACCTACAATTTCTTGAAACTTTGTTTCATTTTCCCGGGGTTTTATTTCAACCTCTTCTAATGGAGTGGGTCTTCCCCCAAATTTTGTCGATTTCCGACCCCCGAAGCCGACACGGGAAGGTTTTCCTGCTGTTTCCCCGAACTTGAGTTATTTCCCTTTTTGGGACCTTGATTTTGGGTGCTACCATTTTGATTTCCCCAAGAATAACCATTCCCATTTTCTTTTTTATTATTTGGGCCATTATAACCGGATTTTTGAGCTTTCCAACCCTGGTTATTTTTCTGATTCCAATTTTTCCAATTTCCTTTTTTAAAAGGTGGACTGGGATTCTGTATTCTGGTTGTTTTTTCTAACCTTTCTATGTTTTCATTTAATCTCCCCAATAATTTGGTCAATTTAAATGAATCTTGGGTGTTACCACTCCCACTAGCATCTATGGCGTTTACATTGTTAAACTTTGCACACTTCTGTGTATCCGCCAACCTATAAGTTTCTAACCTAATTGCTAGAGTTTCGGCTTCATTTATATCCCTAGGTCGGGCCTCCCTCAGGCGCAGCCTAATGTCGGGATCTGGTAACGCGTCTATAAATTGGTCTAATGCTAATACGTTAGTGAGACTGGGCTCAGCGCTGGGATAGGCTTGTCTGGTTAATTTCTTTATTGCCTGGGCCAGCTCAGAGATGCTCTCATTTTGACCCCTCACCCGGGTTTTCAATCTTGCCCTAAACATTTCAGATCTTTCTGTGGCCCCAAAGCGTCTTTTCAAGGCTGTTATCAGGGTATTATAATCCCTTCTCTGACCTGGGCTCAACTCTCCCAACAAACTACATGCATCTTTGGCTAAATGACCTGCTAACTGTAAAGATTTAGTTTTGTAATCCCAATTATTAAGGTCTGCGACTATCTCAAACTGAGAGAGATAATCATCAAAATCCTCATTCCCATCAAATATCCTGGGTTTAGCCCTTTCCCTCGGGGGATCCCTAGTGGGTGTTAACACATTCCTGTTCCCATTGTGATCGGGAGTGCTAAACCTGTTTATATTGGGTACACTGGGTAACTGATGGTAATCTCCCATCCCTGACCTTGAATCTTTTCTACTAAATTCTGGGAGGTCACCTGTAAAATTGAATTGAGATCCTATCATCCCTCTATTTATCCCATTCTCTTCTCCCACTCTATATTGGTCATATGAGCTTGGGTGTCTATTTTCCCTAACATTGTCATTACTTAAATGTGATGGGATTTGATACGGGGGTCTATTATTTATGTGGGCATCTTTTACCCTTGTCTGATCCCGTTCCCATAAATTCTGGGATTCGTGTTTAAATTTAAAAATCTCTTCCTGCATATTCTCTAACCTCCCATCAATTTCTTCCCTAATGCTTACAAATTGCTCTCCTATCTTTTGATTCATTTTTGCAAATTCTCTAGAAAATTGCTCTTGTAAAACCTTAACTAATGACACATTTGCATTTTCAGATATGGGAGACATGGCTGCTGAGATACCTTCTGTGGGAGCAGGGACTTTCCCGTTATCCGCGATGGATCCAGCGGGACTGAAAATTTGCTGACCTATGGGTTTGAAAGTGACTTCCCCGGACTCTTCTAAATCTGACATTTCTGTGACTTTTTTTTTTTTTTTTTTATTGTACACTATGAAATTTCAATGATTGTAAAATTTTGAATTTAATAAAGCTAACCGAGAATGTGGAAAATTTCTTCCCAATCAAAGGGACTCAAGATCCCACTTCTGACACCAGTGTTGCGCCTCCCACCTCGGGAGAGAGTGGGGCAACTGTGTGGGCTTTCCACTCTCGTATGTTAACTAATAAATTAATAATTAAGTCAGGATAAAAGTTCAACAAATAAAATTTATTTACACTATGTACAATTAAATGTAAGTATTGTTATAATAAAAATCACAATACAATATCAGTCTCTTATAAAGTGAAGTCACTCCCACAACCCGTAGGTAAAATCTAAATCTCCCAAAATAATTATAAAAATTAGCTACTTGTACTAAAATATACTTTCCTTGGTTTAATATAATTTATTTATGACTATTCTGTAAGACCTATATAGTTTTAATAATAAATTGTAACTCCCATAAATTCTCCCATAAGTTTTCCCGTCGATGGGTCTCCCACTCTACTTATGGGTCTCCCACAGGGATATCTCAGCGTCTCTATTTAATATAATTTGACTAATATAATTACCCATCTGGTCTGCATAGGGTCTGCCATCCCTGTAATGATTACCAATGATGGGAACACTTCTAAAATAATAATCTGGAGGCTTCCGTATCCTCCCAACTTCTCCCCCCTTCTCCTCTAGCAGACGAAATTTTCGCTTCTTTATATACCTTTACTGTACCCACTGGTAACCTCAATTAGCCAATCGCTGACCCGGAATGACCCTACGCCACTTCCGGTATAAACAAATCAGGGAAAGTGCACGCAGAGAAGTTTTCTAATAGAAAATCATTACTAACCATACAAAATGGGATTTTATCTACCAAAATACGATAAGTACAAGTAGCTATTACGTTATTAAGTTGATTTAAACAATGACAATACAATGTTCAAAAACGAAACGTGATAATTGACTTCAAACATGCTATCGAGATCGAGACCGGGTCGAAATACAGTGAACCCGATTCTAAAACAATATTGACAGCATATAACTTATTTCTTTTACAACTTTTTATCAATTATTTAATAACAAACAATCATGTACATATCAATATGCTGATAACAACTGCATACGCTGCGAGTGATCAATGAAATATATAAAAGTGACGAAACGAATTTCGTAACATATGAAACGGAGGAACTGTCCGTCCTGCATGATCTAGGATGTGGATACGGTGGTTATCACAGTCTGCTGTCAGGATCTAACTCTGGCTGTCTGTTGTGATGCCATGCGGATAAAATGAACCCTTGATGGTAAACAGGTGACCAGAGTATCTAAATAGGAGTTTTTCTGCCTGATTTACCACTACTATTGCTTTCGCTCCATAATCAGCCACACAGATATCAAAGTTCCTGTTTTCACTGATGTATTTAATGTTGTGAGGTGAAAACAGAAGTTTACCTTCACTATCAAACTGAATGGTTTGTTTTACTGTGGAACCAGAGTAACGAACAACTTTTGTTTGTTTGGAATCATGGCTGTACATGATAATCAGGAGGTCACCAGAGGAGGTACTACAGACATAGCAAGGTTTCCATCCTTGAAATCTGATCACTTCCTTTGCTTATTCTTCACTATGTTTACAGTCCTTGTATCAGGATCAGTATAAATTAGATCTCCACTCCTTGTCACTGCTATGCCACATGGTGTATTCCCAGATGTGGATTTGATTGACTTCAGTATTTTGCCCTGGAGGTTGTAGAGTTTCATGATTTTGTCATGTCCACATGTCCATAATTCTTCATCAATGGGACACGTAACACTGTATAGTCTGTGATGCCCAGTGTCTATTGTGATGATGAGCTCTGGTTCATCAAGCAGTGGTTTGACTGGAGGACAGGATACAGCTTCTGGTGTCTTTATTGTGTAGCCACGGTTTTCTATTGTAATGGATTATGCTGACAGAATACCAAAAGATTGATGGAGCTCTTCCTCTGTGTTGATCTGATAAGGAGAGAAACGTGGTCATTGTTTATTGTGTTAGATTGGCTTTTCTTAAGATCGAGAACTATTCAAAAATCATGAAACCATTTCCTGTATACCGCCATAGCAAATAATTCAGAATCGAATTTCGAATACTGTGTTTTTCTAAAACCTTACTTCAAATTAAGAGCTATAGGTTGTACATGTATACTCAGACAAGTAGACTTTTATCATGTACATTTAGATGATGTACAGTTCATCGCACTTTTTAAACTCAAATGGATTTTCGCACAAATTAAAATCACATTTTTCTTGCAATAAAACTTAAAATTATCGAGTTTCAGTACGAGACATGAGAATTGATTTTTAAACTGTATGATGCTAAATGTGTATGGTTCTACCACATGTATTTACAAATTATTTAATCGAACTTTCTTTGAAACGTTTTGGTTGAAATGTTCAAATTTACTTCTTACAGATGAGTGTTTTTCTAGGTTCTTTGCACATTTTCCCTACCTCTCTTGGTTGTGTAGAAAACAGGGATGGGGTAATCGTAATCAGTACCCAGATAGCAAGACTACATCGGGCCAACGTTGGTTGATGGTTGGTAGGTTGGTATAGTGTTGGTGTTGGGCTGTTAATGTTGGTCCAACATTGGCCCAACAAATGATATGTTGGCATGAAAGCCGAACCGTCGGTGCTGATTATGTGATGCTGGGCCAATGTTGGCCCATTGTAGTAAATGTTGGCATGAAATGTGGCCACTATATATTGGGAATTCGATGTTGGCCCACCGTAGGTCCGACCGAGTAGACGTTGACATAAATTAAGACCATTGCGTGTTGGGATGTATAATGTTGGCCCATCTTAGGGCCAACCAAGTAATGTTGACATGAAACATGGCCAATGTGTGTTGGGCATGTAATTATCAGTCCAATGTTGGCCCAATGTAGTTAATGTTGGCATGAAATGTGGCCACTGTATGTTGGGAATTCGACGTTGGCCCAGCGTAGGTCCGACCGAGTAGATATTGGCATAAATTAAAACCATTGCGACTGGAGATCCATAATGTTGGCCGAACATAGCATCAACCAAGTAATGGCGACATAAAACATGGCCAATGTGTGTTAGGCATGTAATCATCTGTCCAATGTTGGCAAAATGAAGTGAATGTTGATTATAATCAGGCATTGATTGGGCTTTGAACGTTGGCCCAGCGTTGGTCCAACAATGTGAAAATAGGGGAAAAAAACAAATAGGTACATGTAGGTGATATGTTCATTACGCACATTTGTTTTTTTAAATTTGTATATTTCAGAACCACCTATTTTAAGCTTCTTTAAATAGAGACAGCTCAATTTAATTAAAAAGTTATGTAAGGATGAGTTAATCTTAATAACTCATGCATTGATTATCAATCTAAAAAACGAAATATTATTCCAAAACCTTATTTATATGAAAATCATATGATGTACTTTTGATGATTCTTATATGTTATTATTATTCAAGACCATTGCAAATATATATTATACGTGTTATATATGTAGAAGTTTTATTCTGCACATAATAATATGTTGGAGATTCTATATTTAGCACCATGGAACTTAAAGTGCTGAATTTTAGAGCTTCAGATAATTAGGTCAGTGTTGAAATCCACTTGCACAGCGAGTGACTGGCCGGTTTCCTAGGAAACGGGCATCCTAATTAGTTCTGTTTGGTAAACTCGGAGTGGTCACAATGTATCACTTGCAACACTTGAACAAAGCATGCTTTGAAACGCAAGAAAGAGAAAACGGATTGTTTAGCTCTTGAAATGTAAGTATAGATGTTTTATGTGTTATTGATGGAAGTTTATGTTTTTGAAAGTATATTAACTTGGGCATAATTTGTAACATTAAACAAGACCTGTACGAAATGTTCCGCCTGGAATATAGGGGGAATTGAGGCGTACTTGGAGAGGCGTCAATTTGTCTCTCTACATATATAGTGATACACAGGTTCCGGGCGTAACTTAGGCGGAAACCAAGCGTAAATGGGCAGGAATTTGAGGCGAAAAATGCAAATGAGCTACGCCCGGAAAAATAAATGACGCCCGTAAAAAAATTACGCCTGGAAACTAAAATGACGCCTGGAATAGAATTACGCCTGGAATGTCCTTATTATTATATAATACTATGTGACCTAAAAACCTATATATTTACCATGTTAACAAAGAAAAACATTCAGATTATGATTTACAATGTTAAAGCTAAAAATTTAGCTTTTTGAACTGTAAGAAAACATAATGACAGGTCATTAACATATATCATTAACAAGTATAGAAAAATAACATGAATTTTGTGTATTAGGGACACTAAATCATGATTGAGTGTGTATTTAGAATTAAACTTTTTTACAGTACCTGTACATTTTATCACTTCAATAATTATATTGAAACATTTTAGTTACTGACTGAATACAATTCTTCATTTACTCAGCAGTTTACAGTTAGATTCTCACTGCAGCCTCTATCAGACAGATATTTCTCAGAATGTGTGCAAGGACAAACTCAAATATCTAAAGTAATTTTAGGGTCAACCAGTTATAACTATCATTGTACATAATCATAATCAAATTTACTCAAATAGGTACTAGATATTCATGATCACACCTACCAGCAGACACTGTGTCATCCTCAAGAAGTGTAAAAGCCTTAACATTGAGATATCTGCATTTCCTGTTTCACTCACACTAAACTCCCTCCTTCATGATCAAATTCAAACTTAACCTCCTATCTGAAATGACCCTTAATTGATAATTAAATTGACCAATCAGAGGCTTTTACTTCTCCTGAAAGTTCCAGGCGTAATTTTTGTTTCTATTTTCCTGCCATTTTACGCCCGGAAAATCTGAACTTGCCAATTGACGCCCGGAAAATACAAATGACGCCTGTAAGACGTCTCTTCTACTGAGGCGTAACTCTTTGAAAATTCCGTCTCCGCCTCAAGTACGCCCGGAATTTGCCAATTCCTGCTCAATTCCACCCAAATTCCAGGTGGAATCCGCCTTTAAAATTCATACAGGGATTTATAAAAGTTAC